AGAAAGAAAGAAAGAAAGAAAGAAAGAAAGAAAGAAAGAAAGAAAGAGAAGGAAGGAAGGAAGGAAGGAAGGAAGGAAGGAAGGAAGGAAGGAAGGAAGGAAGGAAGGAAGGAAGGAAAAAGAAACTGCTTGAAAAAAAATGTGTTTTAGAATATATGTAGTCACATTACAGGTTTCTAAGAGTTCAAACTCTAAGAAAAATCACATGTAAGATTTGACAAAAACAACAAGTAATAGAACTTGGTTCCTGCAGAATTGAGAGAAGAATTATTGTAAACAGGAATTGAGGGAGCATTTAAGAGATGACTAAAAACATTTTCCCCTAGGTGTGGTGGCATAAGCCCTTAATCTCAGCACTTAGGGAAGTAGAGACAGGCAGATCTCTGTGAGTTGAAGGCCAGCTTGACCTACAGAACAAGTCCTGGACAGCCAGAGCTTGTTACAAAGAGAAACCCTGTCTCAAAAACACAAAAAATAAAATAAAAAATAAAGAGAGAGAAGGGAAAAAAAGAAATGTACCCATCAGCATTATTCTCTCAGCAGCCCACTCTAGAGAAAGCACCTATAGGACATTGACAAGGAATTACCAAGGAGAATAAATACATAAAGAAATGAAAACGTTGATAGCATGTTAAGGACTGTTAGGAAAGCTTTGGGAAAACCCTAGAAGATTGCAACAATTTAGACAAAAAATTACTTAAGCATATACTGGTAACTTTTGAAACAAAGGAAAATATGCTTACTTAACAAAATAGATATTCTTGTGTTGTAACTTGTCATATGATTGAGGCAGATAAATTAAAAGTTGCTGCAATTTCATTTTTGAGAAAGTCAGCCTGAGACAAGGAAGTAAAAGTCTGTGAAGCATTATTCAAGTTCAAGGAACTTGATTTGGTATTTACAAAGTTGGTGGGAAATACTAGGAACAATTACTTTTAAAGTATTTATATTTTTGAAAATTAAATTTCAAAAAAATTAAGTAAATGAAACTGTAATTCATATTCTTGACCTGTTATGACTTGTATATAACTCTTTAGTCTGGCGTTTAGAAGAAGGTGGCATGTGGTATGAATTTAGGTGATTTTTTTTTTTCAATCCTTTGTGTAGGAACCAGAATATAATAGTGACTAAATCAACTGTTTCTTGTTCTCCTAAAACTGAAGGTTTAGTGAGGAAGGAAAACCAAACAAGATGTCACTGTTTAGTGTGATTGTGTCCTTGTTGGTGAAGTAGAGCTAGAGCTACACTTGGTGTATGTGTAGAGGTTGGAACTGAAGTGACGACTGGGTTGTTCAGAGCACTGGCTACGTTTTCATAGGACTTAGGTTCAATTCCCAGCACCCACATGGCAGCTTACAACCATCTGGCTGTAACTCCAGCTCTAAGGCCTCTGACACCCTCTTCTGGCCTCTCAAACACAAGTGGTACACAGACATCTACACAGGCAAAACACCCATATGCATAAAATAAAATAAAATAAAAACGTGTAGACAAGGTGTGAGGGTGATGATAGCCACAGGCAGGCATCACGCTGCTCTGTGGTATGCCTGCAAGTGCTGAGCCCACATTTCTGTTGTATTCTTCGGACATTTTGAGTTCATTGAGCACCTTGGGGCCCAGCTGGCTCGTTTGTGTGCCGTCCATGGCCATATTACTCACAGGCAGGTCCAGCAAGTAGTTCTTCTCTCTGGGTGGGGAAGTTAAGAGAGGTTTCTTGAATTAGCAGAGCAGCTATGTATCAGTCACGAGAACTCTGTTGTCATGCAAATATTCCTCTACTTCCCCTTTGCCATCTATAGTTTTTTGCAAGCTATCAACTTCCTAGTGTTCTTCAGGATGCTAAAGATGACGCAGTAGAAGTCCTTGTTTTTGGCAGTGACTAGCAGCATGCCTTACTTGCCCTCCTGTTCCTGACTGCATTGCTCTGAGTCATTGGTCTTGATGATGGAAGCCTGAACTGTGATCAGGGTTAACCCTGTGGTGGTCATATTACCATGGTCCTTTTTGAATTTTTAAGTCCTACATCCTTTGCTGTCTTCTCCCTACCATCCATAGTCACAAGTCAAATTCTGTGGACCCTGTCTTCTTAAGAATCTGATACAGCTTAGTTGCTGTACCGTCAGCAACTATACTAGACAGTTGTATACTGTCTAGTATACCTGAAGGCTGGGATTTGAGCCTCAGAATCCCATGGACCAGGTATCATGTGGCACACACATTTGGAACCCCAACAGTTAATGTGGCCATCCTGGAATGCCTGAGACCTTGTTTCCAAGAGAGGGAGAGAAACAGACACACACACTCACACACACACACACACACACACACATATATACAGGCAGGCAGGCTGAGACTGAGGTAGGAGAGCCACTGACCTCAGTATTTCAAGGTTTTGGAGTCAACTTGGCTGACAGAGGAAAAACAAACACACACACACACAAAAGAAAACCAATCTGCCACCAAAACATGGATGAGAAGGGTACAGTTTAGAGAGTCTGACCACTGAAACTATGGCCCTGCTGCAGAATATACCACAACCTAACAATCCCCATTTGCCCTCTGTTACTCAAAGACCTCCCTCTTCCCCACTTGTATATCTCCTGTGCTGGCATTGATGCTATGGATCACAGACATCCTCCACCACTTCTTTTGTTCATCTGATTTGTCTCTTGAATTTTGAAAGAAACTGCGTTACAGAGGCATGATTGATTAAGATAGGAAAGTTCCAGTCCTCTCATTGTGCCTCAGTGTTTCCTGCTAAGGATGGCTAGAGTCTACACTGCCTAGTCAACTCATCAGTGTACAAGACACTTGCCAGTCCTGAGAGTACAAAGGTTTTAGTAGGTTCCCCCATGCCTCCCCCCTCCCCCAGGAAACAGAACATCACATTTACTGATTTGACCAATTGTGGATTGAGAATATTAGGGAAAAATGCAGATATATTGGAAATATAAGGGTATTTTTATTATCTGGATAATATAAACAACTTTCTCATTGATGTACATTATTATAATATAGACATTACTTAAAATGTGTGTGTAGATTATATGAAATACTATGCGTTTTGTATGAAAGAATTGCACGTTTTTGTGTTTTGCTATCAGTGAGGTATGATGATGCAAAAAGGCATCTTTATACTTAATAGCATCATAAGTTCCAGTTAGAAAATTATTTTAATAATCTTCCCAAAGATGATAACATTTTTGGTAGAATAGTAGCAGTGAAGATGGAAATAGAAGGTAGACTCGAAAGAAATAATAGGAAAACAGGGTTGGTACTTCGTTATATGTGAAGTGATGAGATATAAAGCAAGTTTCTGGCCAATAGGTGATTCTCAGTTCTAATAAAGTGAAGAGGTGGTGCTGGGATGATGTGGGGAGGATGCTTGTAGGATGAGATTACAAGTGTGTGGATGCTTGCAAAGTGAGCAGAGAAAGTGCAAGTTTTGGGGAGTGGATGGCTAACATGGGCTGGCAAAACTTATCCATTATCTCATCTTTTCTGTTTCAGAAGACCTGTCTGAAATGTGGTGGTTTCAGCAGGGCCTCAGTTTCCTTCCGTCAGCCCTTGTAATTTGGACATTTGCTACCTTCACGTTCTCATATATCACTGCAGTAACACTCCACCATGTTGATCCTGCATTGCCTTTTATCAGGTCAGTGAAATGTATCTGTCACATGGAAGTAACCCCCACCTTCAGTACTGGGGATTGAACACAATCCAGGTAAGTGCTCTGCCGCCAAGCTACTTTCCCAGACCATGGAGAGTCTTTATGACTAATTTGTAGTTTGCATTGAACCTGGCATTTCAATTTTCATTTGAAAGTTCAAGTTTTTGTACTGCCATTTTAGTGTAGGGAACATAAAATAGAACTTGCGTTTGATTCTTCCCATGAAATACAGAAATAGGGGAACTGTGAGATGAGTCAGTTTAATAGATTCTAACTTCTTGGTGTCCTGAGCTTGCCTCAGAACCTGGAATTAGAATTGCTTTCCTCTTGAAATAAAAAAAAAAAAAAATGTTGCAAACAATAGTAATGTTAGGAAAACAGAGTAGTATTGGTAAATGTATTGATTCATTGTGTGACAAGGTAATGTTTTAAGTTTTCTTCATGTTAGGTAATCGAATCCTTACACCATCTGTGTGAGGTAGAGAAGTTCATCCTCAATTAAGACCAGAAGATCTGTAGTCATCTTTCTGTTACTGTAATATATATCTAAAATAACCAACTTATAAGGAGAAAAGGATTATTTGGTGCATCACTGTAGAGGTTTCAGACCATGATTAGTTGGTCCTATTGCTTTGAGCCTGGAATAAATAAAAAACATCATGGTAGTAGAATTACATAGGGAACAAAAGCACTTACCTCATGACCTGAAAGCAAAAGCAAGTTAGGAGGGGGCCAGAGCTTTGTGATTCCCAGTAAGTGCACACACCCAGTAATCTAAAGGCCTCGTTTAGGCCTAACATCTACCCATAGTGCTTCATTGTAGACTAAATCTGCAATACATTCAGTAACTGTATTGCAGAAGGGTAAGGTCCTGGAAAGGTTTGTGATTTGCTCAATGGTGTACAGCTCAGTTAGTTATGAACCAAGATTTGTGCCTGCTGTTTTACCCTAGGAACTGTGATCCTACTTTTCATAACCTGCTGGCTAGATACTCTTTTAAATTTTGAACCTACTAACAACTTAATTATGGATAATCAGACACATGTACTGTGTTTGAAACCACTTTAAAATTTTATTCTTAAGAATATTTAGCCTATAATGTATGAGTACCAAATGCATACTTGCTGCCCATGGAGGCCAGATAAGAACATCTAAGCTCCTGGTACTGGAATTGCAGAGGGTTGTTAAGTAGCCATGTGGATACTGAGAACTGAACCCAGGTCCTATGTAAGAGCAGCAAGTACTGTTAACTGCTGAGAGCCATCTTTCGAACTTCTTTTAAAATATAGAAGCAGTAGAAATTATTACAAATTTGTGATAAGATGAAACTACTTAAAACAGGAAGTCATTAGAGCTGACTCAGCCATTAAGAATGCTTGCTGTTGCAAAGAACCCACATTTGATTCCCAGTACCATCATAGACTGGTTCCCACCTACCTGTAACTCCAATTCCAGGGTATTTGATGCCTTCTCCTGATCCACATAGGCACACACACATAAACATAAATTAAAATTGAGCAAAAATTTTAAAACCAAATTGAAAGCGGGGACCTCTCTCTCTGCATGGTCCTTGGTTGGAGCATCAGTCTCTGCAGGACCCCCTGGGCTCAGAATTTTTAGCTTTGTTGTACTCCTGTCCCTCTATGCCCTTCCACCCTCTTCCATAGGACTCCCTGCGCCCTGCCCAAAGTTTGGCTGTGAGTCTCAGCATCTGCATTGATCCCTTGTTGGGTAGAGCCTTTCAGAAGACCCTCTTATAGTAGCTTTCCATCCTGTTTCCTCTTTTCCACCACTACTGCTGTCTATTCTATTTACCATTCTGAATGAGATTTAAGCATCCTTCCTAGGGTCCTACTTCGCTTTTAGCTTCTTTAGATCTGTAAATTTTATTATGGCTATCCTATATTATACAGCTAATACCCACTTACCAAGTGAATGCATACCATGTTTGTCTTTCTGTTTCTGGGTTACCTCACTCAGGGTGTTTTTTGTTTTTTTTTTTTTTTTTTCCTAGTCCTATCCATTTGCCTGAAAATTTCATGATTTCCTTGTTTTTAATAGTTGAGTAGTAGTCCATTGTGCAAATGTCCCACAGTTTATGCATCCATTCCTCCGTTGAGGAACATCTAGGTTGTTTCCAGCTTCTGGCTGTTACAAATAATGCTCCTATGAATCTAGTTGAGCAAATGTCCTTATTGAATGGTGGAGCATCTTTTGGGTATATACCCAGGAGTGGTATAGCTGGATCTTGAAATAGTGTTATTCCCAATTTTATAGGAAAATGAAGTTAAAAAGATAGATAACCTTTCTAACACAGAAAATGGCAGACTGTGGTAAACTAGATGGTTTAGTTGGGCAGCTTATTCACAATAACTAGGGAATGGAAGCAATCTAACTGTCCTTGAGGAATGGATAATAAAATGATAGTACAATTATACTACAGAATATTATTAAGCTATAAAGAAAAATGAAATTATAAAGTGTTCTGCTAAATGGATCAGTCTAGAAAAGATTATGTTGAGTTTGGTAACACATACCCAGAAATAAATGCTGCATGCTCTCTCTCATCTGCACACCTTACCTCCAAATAGTAAGGATGTTTGAAAAAAAGCCATGTGGAATCATACTATTTTATGTTTACCTGAATTTACGTATAATATATACAAATGTTTGTATATAACAATATGTAGTTTGAATGAAAATTTGCCATTTGGGGGTAATACAATTCTCCCTGCAACAGCCATAGGCTGCCTAGCATAAGCCCAAGTACTAGGCATGAGAAGCTTCTTTTGTCTTGTTGGTCAGGGGAGCCCACGCAATTCCCCAAAGAGTATAAACTACAGCTGTTGCTCTTGGTTGCCTCACAGAGTTTAAAGGTAGGTTCCTATTGGTGAGGACACATGTACATTAGACACAGGACTTAGAGAATTCAAACTGAATATGACCTAGAAGCCTCCTCCCTGAGGACTAGCTTTCATAGTATTACAATGAGCTATGCAAGCTGCTAAACAGAAGAGCAATCAATAGTCCCACCCAGTTGTGATGCCTACAAAGTACAACAATGAGCAATACAGCAAAGATATCTTGAAAGGTGCAATAGTGGCCCTTATAGCATGGCAATAACCAACAGTTGTATATTCTGTAATGCTTTACTTCAAGACTAACAACTTTGTCTTTTTTAATCTTTGTAGTAGTTTGAGGAAAAGTAAAGACAGTAATGCTCAGTGGATCTCTCCACTATCCATTATATACAGTTTTTATATATTACTTCATATTTTATTTCATCCTTGTATTGATCCATCAAAGCTGGGAATGAAGGAGTAGTTCCAGTTATTAAATGAAAAAGTTGAGACTTAAGGACAAAAGAAAATGTGCCCAAAGATTTATAGTTTCTATAGATTTGTTTTCTATCTGGGTCTATTAGTAGTCCGCAGTGCCCTGGAGAATAGGAATATAAATAGAGCCATTGCATTGCAGTGTGGCGAGTACTTTTGAGGAACCTGGCAGAGTCTTGTCAGTCACTGTCTCCTAGAAGAGTGATCGAAGGTTAAAAGTAAGAAGATGCTCAAAATGGGTCCTGAATGTGAAGTCTATGAGTGTGGAAGTTTTGTCAGATTTGTTTTACTTTTTCCTTCTTTTCCAGAAATGGTAACTGTGGTGGTTTGAATAAAAATGGTCCCCATGGGCTCACAGGGAGTGGCACTATTAAGAGGTGTGGCCTTGTTGGAGTGAGTATAGCTTTCTTGGAGGAAGTGTGTCACTGGTGTGGGCTTTCAGGTTTTGGAAGCTCAAGCCAGGCCCTGTGTCACTCTCTTCTCCTATTGCTTGTCAATCCAGATGTAGAACTTTTGGCTCCTTCCATTGATGAAAATGAACCAAAACCTCTGAACTTTAAGGCAGCCCCAGCATTTTTCTTTCTAAGAATTGCCATGGTCATGCTATCTCTTCACAGTAATAGAAACTGTAAAACAATAACTAATGAATGGTGTTGTTTGATAAGTATTTTTAATGATCAATTGATGAATAGATGTTAATTGAAGTACACGCAGTCAACAACAAGTACAAAGAGAAGAGCAATGAAAGGGCCAGTGCTGCTTACAGAATATTCTGGTGAGGCTGATACAGTGATTAACTTTGGGTAAATACACAACATACTTTTAACATATCAAGGATAATTTTTTTTTTAGTTGGTTTTTGTTTTTTTTTTTCTGCTGTGTTGAAATAGAAAGATCTGAAATGACAGAAAATGGGTAGGCAAATATTTTTAAACTCAAATTATGTTCTCTTTATAAATATATGAGTTGAGTTCAAGGGCTTTTCAAGGATGAAGAGTCTTAAGATAGCTTCTATTATAGTAGGATATGTAGTGTAAGAACCCTACATACTTTCTCTTTGTATTTCAGTGACACTGGGACAATACCTCCAGAAAGATGCCTTTTTGGAGTAATGCTAAATATTGCTGCAGTTTTAGGTAAGTAATAGAAGCGAGAGTGGTTTTAGCACACAAAATGAATAAATTGCTATCTTTCTTTAAACATTGTATCACCACTAATTTTCTAGTTACTTGAGAACATGTTTTTACTAAAATACAGATTATAATTTATATTCCTGAACAAACGAAAAGAAGGAAAACTCTCAGTTATATTGCTACCTTTGAAGAGCGAATGGGGAGAGAAAAGTTCAGTTAGAAATACCAAATTATAGAAATAAATTTTGAAGAAATACTTATATGGTTATAAATGAATTTATCTAAACAAAGATTACAGTCACACCTAAACATTCCTTGGGGCCGTAGGTAAATTTGTTACACAACCAGTACAACATCATTAGATGAAGGTAAAACTGACTACAACCACAATTTTTTCGTGAAAAGCAGTTTAAAAGTTTAAGAGTAGAAATGGCATTTATGTTTTCATTTTTGGCTAATATTCTAATGCTGCGGAACTCACTGTATGGTATTATACTCAAGCTCTTTTTTTGTGAAACTGATTTTTATTAATTTAATAAAATGTTATCATTAAATATGGTCATTTAATATAATTTTATCTATCAATTCAATATTATTATTTCCTTGCCTGAAAAGAGAAATTAGGATGCTAAGATGGCTCCAGAAGGAACAATACTTGCTTACTAAGCCTGACAACCTTGAGTTTTATATCCAGAAACCACATGGGGGAAGAAGAGTAACAGCTTTCAAAGGCTGAGTAGTGACTTACACACATACACACACACACACACACACATACACACAGAGACAGACACACACACAAATAAATATAGATGTAAAAGAATATTGAAAAACTAAAAATTAGGAAAATAAATGTGTTTTCTATCTACATTCTTCAGAAACGTCTACAAAGCATGTATCTGTCATGTTTATTATACTTCTGAGTTGTCTGGCAATAACTCTGCAGTAGACAGTTTGATTTGGCCCTCTCTTGAAACATGAGTATGTAAAGCTGGCTGTTTTCTTGTGTAATTGACTGCTGTGTCTGCTTGAGCCTACCTGTGGTCACCTAAAATAAAACAATACAAGAATGAGGAGGTAACTTTTTCGTTTGTTTTGTCTGTGTACTCCCCATCCAGATTCTACTGTTGACTTTGATGTTGATCCTATAAATACTGTGGGTTTAATGTAAAAAAAAAATATTATGAGAGTCTTTTTCAAATGACATCAAACTTATTTTCTAAGTTTTATACCAAGTAGATGTAGACATGAGGCCCAGGGAAAGCAAATGGCTTAAATGGCTAACTCAGACACACAGAGATTCAAGTAGTTCCATGGCACGACTGTAAAAATTCTTTTAGCTCTACAGGTTTATGTTGTTTTGTTTTGATTTTCATTCTCTTTTCAAGTTAATGTTACAAGGACAGTCTGTGTCTGGATAGCACTGACCTTTGTGAACTCTTCACGGCACTTTATTCCCATGGTTACTCATTACTTTGTTGTTTTTCACATTCTCTCTTCCCAGGTATTGCTACCATGTATGTTCGTTACAAGCAAGTTCATGCACTGAATCCTGATGATACCCTTATCATCAAACTAAACAAGGCCGGCCTTGTGCTTGGGATACTGAGTTGTTTAGGACTTTCTCTTGTGGCAAATTTCCAGGTTTGCTTTTTAACCCAGTGTGGATATTTTCCTGAGTGTGTGGGTGTAGTAAAATGGAAAGCTGAAGTCACATGCTGCTCCTGTCTTTTCCCTAACAGAACTTAGCTGTGTCATTTGACACTTCTAGAAACAGCTGCTGTCACTATTAGGAAAATTCATATTTGGTTATCCAAACAGACATACATTATTAGAACTGTTTCTCAGAGTGCTCAGGACACTTACTACAGACTTCACTGTGCTTTGTCCTCAGGATCAGGCAAAACTGATAAACATAATAAGTGACACATTGCAGATCTACACTTTATTTATTTTGTTTCAAATAATGTTTAGGGAATAGATATAGATTCTTTGCTGTAGTTTTCCCTTGAGCAATTTAACAGTATCTCATCACCTATATGGTGAAAATTAATCCCAAGTATGTACCCAACCCAGCAAATTGCTTTTGGAGTCCCTGACAGCTTGTGTTGGCTGCCTTCCTTTCTTATTCTCAATTGCTGTATTTGTGTTTTGTTTTCTGCATTCATTCACTTTTACACACCAGCTCCCTTGGCTCTGTCATCTTGAATCTGAGCGTTTTATCCCTCTCTGACTCTATCTCTGTCTGTCAGTCTCTCTCTCTCTCTCTCACTCACACACACATACACACACATATGATTATACCTCGTCCTTCACCTTTGGACATCTTGAATGTTCTGACTTTTACTCATGGCTTCCTTGCTGGCCCCTTTATCCACAGATGCTACCACCTCCAATATCCACTTCCTTTCTTCCTAATGAGAGTTCACCACTTAAAGTTGTGAATGCTATCATTTCCCTTTTATCATTTATAATGTGCATGTTTGGAGGAGAGTTAGCACTGTTTTGAATATAGTGATGACTTACTGTTTTTTTCTCTTAAATAATTCCTGAATTCTTTTGCTTACTATTCTTATTTCTCCTTCCTTTCCTACCAATTCTTTTGAAGGAATTTTTCATTTGTATTTACTCTTACTTTCCTTTAGTCTCCATTAAAAAAAAATGGTCCTCTGTTGTCTTGCTTAAACCTCCACAAAATTTACAGTAAAAGAAAAATAATTTAGCCAGGTGGTGGTGGTGCATGTCTTTAATCCAGTGCTTCGGAAACAGAAGCAGGTGGATCTCTGTGAGTTCGAGGACAGCCAGGGTACGCAGGGAAAACCCTGTCTCCAAAACAGAAGAAAAAATAATTTGATAAACTCAGATATTTAAACTGATCAAAGTCCTCTGTAATTTGGTTCTCTAGCTTCATTTTGTAACTGTTCTTAATGTTGCTACTGTTATATAGTGCTAGCCCATTTAGTTGTTGTTCCTTAAAGCAAGTTTATTTAACTTTTTCACATAACTACTTGAGTATGCTACAAGCCTCGAGCCTAAATAGATCTAGACCTCAGTAAAGACCACACTATCCTAGGAAATCTTTTGCTGGGTCCTACTACAGTGTATTCTGAGTTTTTTCTTTTTGTATCTTTAGAGCCTTAGAAAGCTGATACCTCATACTTCTTATTGGGGTTTCATTTTTTAAAAAAAATCAATGCTTGTTTACATTTGTATTTATTTATTTTTGTTACACTTCTCATTAATTTTAAGTGAAGTAGTTTGCTCAGCACTGTAGCTCTAGCACCTAGTGTACAACTAAGTGCATATAAGCTCTCATTAATTATTTAGGAACTTTTTGAGAGACACTAAGGTACTAAAATGGTTGGGAATAAAGTCTCTTATTAGTAGTATTATATGGTTTCATGTATTCAAGGGAAAACCCAATAATTATAAGAATGTGGTATTTGAAAATATAATTTAATGAATATTGAAGACCTTTGTGCAATGCATATGTAACATTCAACAGAATGAATAATGGGAGGTATTATTCATTTTGGGTCCTCATAAAGGTTCCTCAGTGTCCACTTAGAAGACTGTTTCCCTTCTGGAGATTTATCCTTCAGGAGATTTGGTATGGATTACTAAGTAGGAAGATATGATTTACCTTTCTAGGGTTCTCATTTGAAACTATCATGAAATGGATAGTTGCAAAAAGAAACTTAACCCCTCAAAGCTGGAGTGTCAGTGGGGCTGGCTCTCATCCATGCTCTCGATAGTGCTGGCTGATCCAGAGCATTTGTGTCTCATCATACGGTCTTCAGGAATCTTAAGTTCTTTTCCTCTGTTTCCTAGTTTCTAAAATTATGAAACTAGATATAAAAAGCTGCAGGTTTTTTAAAAAATACCTAGTTTCTGGACTTGCTTTGTAGAGCAGGCTGGCCTAGAACTCACAGAGATCTACCTGTCTCTGTATTCCTGAGTGCTGGGATTACAGGTGTGGGCCACTGTGCCAAGCTTAGTAACTTTTTTAATTGAAATACTTGTCTTATAATACAATACATTCTGATCACAATTTCCCCTCTCTCATCTTTTCTCCTGCCAGATCCTCCCCGTTTTTCCGCCCATTCAATTATTTAACTCCATACCTTCTTTCTCTCTTTAGAAAACAAACAGACCAAAAGACACACACACACAAGTAAAAAAAACAAATGCATATGCACACACGCCCACACACAAACACATATTAAACCCAATTAAGCACAAAACCCATTTATACACAAAATTGAGAACCATAATATGTAAGCAAGAGAACAGTAAGTATAAAAATGCCCAAAATAGAGCATCACAAGACAAAAACATCTTCAGAAATACCATTGAGTTTGCTCATCTGCTGAGCATGGGATGTCCTTAAGTGTGCTTTGTATACCCAGCTGACTCCATTGGAGACAATAAAGTTTTTTTCTTTGTGAGCATTTGTTAATTTGAAATAGCTTTTTGGTTAGAGATGGGAGTTCATGTCCACTTCTCTCATGTTAGAACCTCATCTATACATGTTGTCGGTCTCTGAGTACATGTGTCTCAGTTCTACTGTGTCTGTGAGGCACTATTTCCTTGCTGTCTTAATCCCCTCTGGCTCTTACACTCTTTCTGTCTTGTCTTCTACATAGCTCCCTGAACCCTAAGGGAAGGGGTTTGATGAAGGCATCCCATTTAGGACTTAGTATTACAAGGTTTCTGACTCTGCATATTTTCCAGTTGTGGAAGTCATTTTATTGCTATGTCCCTTTAGTGGAACACTAGTATTTGGTTTTCCCCTAGGTCTATGAGCTCTCTAATCTCAGGTTTTTGGCTATCCCGGGCAGTGTCAGACAGGGTTCCAACTCATAATCAACTAGTGGATGGTTACTGCTACAGCCTTTGTACCACTATTGAACCAGCGTATCTTGCAGGCAGATCACTATTGGGGAATGAAGAGTTTGCAGCTGGGTTGGTCTTTACCTTTCTGGTGAGGTAACATTCAGAGTACACCTTCAATACCATGAACGCTAGTCAGTAGGGGAAAAGGCCCTAGTTAGGTAACAGCATGGCTTCTCAATGTGTAGGTATTGTTTTCAGCAATGGGGCCTTACCATCAGTTTGCAGAGAGCAACCAATAACTTTGACAATACCCTGAGTTATTTGGAGGTTCTCATAGGCCCCTTTTGGCCAACAACTCATTTAGATGTAACCTGTTCCTGACACTGGAAGTTTTATTTGATGGCAAGAGATTATCTTCTTGGGGCTTTGGTGATTTTTTTTTTTTTTCAGATAGAATATCCAAGCCTTTGAGCAACTAGCCCTCTGTCTCTCTTCCTCCTTCTTTCTTTCTTTCGCTCTCTCTTTCTGAGAAGAGAAACTGGTGCCTTTGAAGAGTCAGATCCACAATTTCTGTACTCTGAGAATCACCTGTAGGAATTAACTGAGAGACAGCAAATCAACTGGGTTTGTAGATTGTACATCTGATGTGAAATGAGAAAACTGAACCTCCCCTTTCTTTGTTCTCTTAGTCATTATGCTCCCTCTGTGCCAAGCATTAGATGTGCCTTTTCTACCAAAGGCAATATAAACACCATCAAGTAAAGCAAAACAAAACAGTGGTTCGAGCAATCTTTGATTTAAAACACTGGGTGTAGAAATTTGAGACTGTTGGGTTGTCACTTTTAAACAGATGGAATGTATAATGATAGAAATTAAATGTAATAAGGGGAATATTGTAACATAATAATCTCTGTGGAATGAACAATACAAACTAATAATGATCCCTGTGGCATAATCAGTAATAAACTAGTGCCATAAGGGCATTAAATTATATTTAAATTTAAATTCTCTTCTCCTGATATCCCTAGTTCTCTGTTCTTTAACCAACTTGCTCTGTTTTTTATTAGTATTACCATTATTTACCTTTATTATCTAGGTCCTCATTTCTGAGGTTTATTTATTTTTGTTTACCTTTGCTAGACTATAAACTCTGAATGCTGAGTGTCTATCTCATTCATTTACATATTAATGGCTTTAAAAGGTACCTGGCATCTAATAAAACCAAGTAAAAATGTTAAATAAGTAAAACAAAATTCACGGATATGTGTTACCATTTTCATTGTTGGCAAATGAAGTCATCTGGTTTCACTATAATCTTCCAGTTTTGTGGAAGTGATTTGTGTTATCTGCAGAGCTTCTCCAAGCAGCAGATGCCCTATTGAATTATCTGGCTTGTGCTTTGAAATGATGTATTGTCAATGTGTTCTTAGTTTCTCTCACTGACTGACTTTTTTCTGCTTCGCAGAAATCAACACTACTTGTTGCACATATATGTGGCGCTGTCCTTGCCTTTGGTATGGGATCATTATACATGTTTGTTCAGACCATCCTTTCTTACCAAATGCAGCCCAAAATTCACAGCAAACAGGTCTTCTGGGTCCGACTGCTGTTGGTTATCTGGTGTGGAGTAAGTGCACTTAGCAGTATCCTTTGATTTTCTATTCAGAGAGAATAAAATAATGAAACAAATGGAGGCAATGTAAGTACCATGTTTAAATTTTTAACTTTTTAGATTACTTTATGTATATAGGTATCTACCTGCATGTATCTAAGTGCACCATGTGTATACCTAGTGGCCACTGGTACCAGAAGAGGGTATCAGATACCATGGAATTGAACTTATGTATGGCTGTGAGTTGCCATGTGTGTGCTGGGATCCAAATCTTGGGCCTCTGCAGGAGCAACATGTGCTCTTAACTGCTGAGGCATTGCTGCAGCTCCCCCAACCCTTTCAAGAACGTTATACATTAGACTAAAGAACTACATCTAGACTAAAGAACGTTGTACATTTGTGCATGAAATTCAGACTGACATTAAGTACTTGAGCCAGGAACAAAAATAATATTTGGCATAGTCATACTTTAAAGAAGACAAGGAAGAAGTATTATGCTCACTACAAAAATTTATTCACTGGAAATTTATGGTAGAGCTGCTAGTTTTGAGCAAAGAGGAAAGGGCATACTGTAAACCATTTCCTATTTACTGTGGATAGATCTTTAGTTTTAGTACTGACATGTGACATTAATTCTTTAAAGAAATAGAATTGGACCATATTAACAAAAGCTAGTCTTTAAAGTGATTATACACACACAAACACGCACACACATATGTATATATAATATTTTTTTTATGATTTACAACTGTAAAAATTCAGTTCTCCGAGAGTCTTCCTTGACTTACTTTTTTACAGTGCTCACTTGCTCATCAATTTTGTACAGTAGCGATTTGGGTGTTGATGTAGTACAGAAACTACACTGGAACCCCAAGGACAAAGTAAGAGCTTAAAGTCTATAAAATGTATACACGTGTGCACACACACATGCATGAGTGTGTGTGTGTGTCTAAGTGCATGATTGTTTTTAAAGATTTATTTTCATTTTAAAATGTCTTCCCTTGTGTGTCTCTGTATGTCATGTATATATGAATGCCTGCCAGAAAAGTGCATCGAATCCCAGCAAGGGAACTGGGAACTAAACTTGGTTCATGGAAAAAGCAGCAAGCACTCTTAATCATTGAGCCTTTTCTCCCATCCCTATATAATTAATATTGTAAGTTAGTATATAAGCTCTAAAAATAATCTTTGTAAAAGTCTGTAATAAGTATTCTTGAACTTTTCCTAGGGTCATTTTGTAAAATTTATTCAGATACATATACACACATGCATAGTGTGTGTGTGTGTGTGTGTGTGTGTGTGTGTGTGTGTGTGTGTGTGTGT